TCTTAATCACACCTTCTGGAGGTGACCTCTGGGGTCACCCTGCCTGCCTGAAGTGTATGGCATTTCTCATCCTGACCTTAAGGACTGTGAAGAAGTCAGGACTTTTTGTTGGGAGGGCTTTCAGTTTTCCTGTGGCCCCTAAATCTGGATGACACTTGGGTCTATGCTGGCCTGCTAGCATTACTGGAGGGCAGCAAGAAGCCACAGGATCCTCCTTCTCCCAGCCAGGCTGCTGGGAGCAGTGACCCAATGGCTTGGTGTCCCACTCATGGCAGAGCCAGGGCATGCCAGGGTAGCCTGATGGAGTTCATCCTGTTTTAGGGTATTTTAATCCAAATCTCTGAGGTATATTTGCTATAATAATGTTGGTGCTCCTATTGAATCTGGAACAGAAATGATAATGTAGTTCATCTGCCCTTTTATCCCACATTTCTCTCTGTTTGCTGCAAACCATGGAAGCTCCTTATTCATTGGTAAGCCCAGAGAAGGCTGCCTTCGAGCATGATTCAACTCAGGTCACTGTCCATTCTCTATTCAGAAGAAAAGGGCAGACATCATCCCTCTGACTGGTCTTTGTAGCTTGTCCCTGAAATCCTGTGCTCCTGCACATTTGATGTGCTCCCAGTGACTCACTCTAGAAATGCTTTGAGCTTGCCCTGCTGCTGTGATTTTGTATGTGCAAAAGGAAATTTTGAAAGATAGCATTATCTCCTGTGCTGGTCTTTGTTTTCCTGGAAATCTGAAACCATCTCTCGGACTGTTTTTAGAAAGTCTTCAAATACTGACCGCATATGGCCTATCATCACGTGTGAGGCACACAATGACAAATGTATGTGTTCAGTGGAAGCAACTGGTTTTGAAAGCAATGGTCTGCTGCAAAGGCTCTCTTTGGCTGCATAAACGGAGTCAGATACAAAGATAGTTTTGATATTTATTAAGAGAAGTTTAGTAATCACAATAAAATCATGAAATGCAAGATACCATTTGCAGTTTACACTTGTGTAGGTAAGAGGGCTTCATCTCATAGCTGGTACATTGGGTTAGTAAGTTGTTGCAAATGTAAGTGAAATCTGAGTTTCTGCAATGTACCGGCTGTGGGTGGGAATGCCAATGTCTACCATCAGCTGCAGACGCACTGCTCACTTCAGGGTAAGCAGGCACAGATGAAAGGTGAGATGGATGAGGAACCTCCTCCTTACCTCCCCTAGGAATGCTTGGCTAAAAATGCAAATATTTTAAATATTTTCAGTCAAAACAACCATCAGAGTTACAGAATGAAGAGAGGGAAGGTTACATTGTCATTTTAGTCTAAATTTCACATTTGGATGGGAAGAAATGGACGTAGCAGCCTCATTTTTGTTAGTGTGCTGTACTGCAGTTGAGCAAGGCAGGACAAAGTGGGAGCAAGATGGGCAAGTGTGTCCAGAGGTCCCCTGTGCAGCAGTGGTGGCTGCTTCCTTCTCTTGCCCCGCAAGTGCTCCCACCAGCCCTGTCCTCTTCCAGCAGCTGAGCTGTGGTGCAAAGCCCTCAGGTGAGCCCCACTGGTCTCAGGAGCGCAGGGAGCTGCTGGAGGCAGCAAGGTGAGGGCAGGTGTCAATCCCAGGGGATGAAGGGCAGCTGCCAACCTGACTTAGGCAGCTGCTGGTGGAGGGGTTTGCCCAGCACTGGGTTGGGTGGCAGAGTGCTTGCTTGTCCCTGAGGACAGGCAGGAGGTGGGGCAGCAGCAGACCAGGACACCATCCCCCCATGGCCCGGGATGATCCACACCAACCATGACATCCAGGGGAGGACACCTGAGAAAAGAGCATGGTGGTTGCAGAACCAGCTTTGTCTCTGCTGGGTTCGGTGGGGAGGTAAGTCACATGGGAATTATGCTCTGGCAAAAATATACTTTTTCTCTTTTTTTCCAGTCACGCAAGAAAGCCACAGGGCAGGTTTTCTGTGACTGACACATGAGAGCTTCACAGCACTGGTGCAAGATAGGAGGTTGCAGAGGAGAATTCTGTGAATGCAGAACCCGGGGATGTCATTATGACATTGAAACCTGAACCTGGACATCACTCAACTTCTCCTTCCTCCTCCAAATCCCTCTCCTAAACCCACTGTATTGCAGCCAGCCTTCCAGGCTCTCCTGGCTGCCAGTCCACAGCCTGCAAGCTGCTATTTGGCTGCAAAAATAGAGGAGTTAGAAGCAATGTCTGTAAAAGCAAGTGTGTCTCTAACATCTAGTATTCTGGTTGTGTCAACGAAGCCAGGTATGCAACATAACAAAAAAAACCTCATTTAAAAAATGATACATTGTTTTTGGTATTGACTGGCCAACATCCAGAGTTTTTGTCCAGAAAACAGCGCTGCCAAGAAGAGACAAGAGGATGCTGGGCTCTTTCTTAGACTGAGTCTTTTGATGTCCAGCCTAAGCAATCCCTGCTGAAGACCAGCTGCAGGACCATCCCATGGCTCTGCAACCTCTTGGACTTTGCTCTTCTCCTCCTCCTTGTTGCAGCATGGTTGTACAATGCGAGGATTTCCTGGCACTTCTCATCCAGCCTTCACAAGCACGTCTGAGCCTCCACTTTCTTTACCTAGTAATCACCTTTATGGTTCATAATACTTTGACAGAAGACCTGTGCTAATTTTTCATGTTTCTGAACTACATATTCCTGCTAGAAAAATATTTCAACTTAGGCCTGGCTGCAGAAGGTGGGTTTATCTCTGTTTTGTCAGCTGCTTTTTGTGGTGGTGCTGTTTATTATCTGTTCGATGTTAATGTGCTTCAGCACATGGAAACAGGAGAACCAGCAGCAGGCTGTCCCTCACCTTGTTGCCATAGGGTGTCCTCTGCAAATTCATCTAATGTCAGCCTGTTAACAGAAGATTTTTGTGGGCTGCCACAGATAAGTATAAATTCACCAGAAATACATCCCAGAGGCATGTTACACCCTGAGAAGTGCCTCAGGTCATTGTCCACAGGACTGGCACAGAGGCAGGATCGCCCAGGGTTTTTTATGCCATGAACAGTCCTTTCTCTACATCATCATGTGCAGGTGTTCCTGTGCACTGACATTTCTAACCTTCAGCTTTTCCTCACGGATTTTTTCTGTTTCTGCCTGTGCAGCTGGGTGGAAGTACCTGCCTCACCACTGAATTCTCTTATCTAAGTCAAAGCTCTTTATTAAAGTAGGTTTGAGGGGCAGCTGACTCAGAGTTAGGAGGGAATGAGGAGTTCAAATTCCTCCAGACACAAAAGCCACCTCTGACCCGGCTACAGAGGGGAGGGGAAGAAGAGAAATATCTTCTCGCTGCTGCCAGGAAAGGCTCCCTGCCAGCCCTGCCGAAGCAACAGCTGTCCATGGCTCAGCTGCTGGAGCAGCTTCTCCTGCTCGGCTCCAGGCTCTTGTCTGCACCAGGCAGTCGAAGCAAAGGTGTGATTTCAAATAGACTTAACTAAGCTGTTGCAAATTTCCCATGAATGCAAGACTTCAGAAAAAATCTGGTTTTATGTGACGGCTGACAAATGTGCATGTCTACATAGGGGAAATTCCAGCTCGGTGGACTGAAAATGGGTACAGGGTTTCACCCATACACTTAAAAAGAATGCAAGGCATTGAGAATTAGATGTATTATTGACTATTTTATGTGATCCATTGCCATTGCATGCAGAGCGTAGCAGCCATTTACATGCAGAAATCAATTAAAAAATTCACTTTAATATTTCCCTGAAATGCACAGTTTCCAGATCAGTATTACATGCTGATAAACAGCCCTGCTTTGGAGTCAGGGACTGCCCCTGGATGTGTAGGGGACTCTCTTAGTCATTCTGTAGCATATTTCAGATGCAAGCTCTATATAGTCATGAGGTGGAATAAACATGAGAGCTTTTTATGAGACACTTAGAAGTTATAGATTAAAAGAGGAGACAATATTCTGTTTACATGTGCAGTACAGCAGCAAAGTGATTTTATACACTATATGCAGGGACTTTGGCTTAAATCTGAGGATGAGATATTTACTGCTTGTACAGTTGTGTGATAAATTATTGGCAAGTAGAAGCACAGATGGCTTTCCCTTAAGATCAGGCATCACATGCCACAAATTATCTGGGAAATTGTCATTTTAAAAATAACTCTGGAACACGTGCCAAGCTGAGAGGGATATCAGTGTCTAATAAACAGTTATAAACACAGCAATGTTCAAAATTAAAATATATTTAAATTAAACTATGATGAAAGGGAGCATATACAATTAGCACCTGTTCTATAGCTGTACAAATTAAGCTTTTTATTCTATATTTCTTCTGCCTCATCTGGAAATTCAAATAATGTTTTTCGTACATATTTCAGCTGCTGTGGAGTTAATGGCTTGAATAGTTTTGTTAGATTCTTATGTTACAGCTCCTAAAAAAAACAAACAAAAACAACCCCATACTGGAAGAAATTTAAGCACAGTTATAGGCAGGCAATTTTTTTAAACTGATTTTCAAGGTGGTGACATGTTTACACCCTGAAGTGTCTGAGCTCTGGCGCAGCCATCGTTCCTATTGTCTCCTCCAGCAACAGCATGTGCTTCACACTTTGGAAAGGCAGGATCCTGGATCCTGCCAAAACACAAATTACGCAAAATTACACCCTGCATCTCATGGCCATGGCTGCTTGTTCAAAGCCGAGTATTTATTAGGTTGCAGAGTGTGACTGGGTGGGTTGGGGCAGCTCTCAGCCGCTGTGCAGAGAAAAGGGAGGAGGAGTGGATTGCCTGTGTTTGTCACTCCTTCTCCTCCTCCTCAAGGGCTGAAGGCCACCATGTGCGAGTGAGGAGAGCCAGGGCCTCACCAGCCACCTCCCCTCGCCCTGTCCCCCCCTCCAGTCATCACCTGTCGCGGCCTGTCCTTCTGTCACTCGCTTATATGGGCACGGCGGGATGGCATCTTGTGACGCCGTGCTGCTAAAAACAGCTCAGGCTCCCTTCGGCCCCCTCGTTTAAACAATGTCCTCTGGCCAGAGCGACCCAGAGAGCTTCTGATTGCAGCACAGCCTTGGACTTATTTCAAGGGAAATTAACCCGGAAACCCTGTCTGCAAGGCCGTGATCCTGAGCGTATGCCCCTGGAAAGGCTAGGGATGAGCACCTCCCTGAACTACAAGTCCTTCTCCAAAGAGCAGCAAACCATGGATAACCTGGAGAAACAGCTGATTTGCCCCATCTGCTTGGAGATGTTCACCAAGCCTGTGGTCATCCTGCCCTGCCAGCACAATCTCTGTCGGAAATGCGCCAGCGACATTTTCCAGGTAGGTTTTTTTCTCCCCATGGAAAGCTCCGCTTCCCAAACAACACTGGCTGAAAAGAAGACAAGAGCAGATTTTTTCCGTGTCTTGGTTGACGGGTCTGTGTGCGTGATTTAAAGCAGAAGCTGGGTGTCCCTGGGAGCTGAGCTCATAGCGGATTTGTGTCCCTTGTTTAGCTGCAGGGACACGGGGAACTGGCCAGGCACTTTCCTGGGGGGTGGCTTGTTGGAGCTGACTTCTCCTTGGGCATATTTACAAAATATTCTCCTCCAAGGGTGTTTTTTGTCCCAGTGCTTTTGAAAGAGGTTTTCCTGGTTTTGCATGGCCTCACTCACCTCTCCTTGTGCTGCTTGGCAAGAGCAGGCCTCCAACCCCTACCTGCCGACCAGGGGAGGCACAACCATGGCGTCAGGAGGTCGCTTTCGCTGTCCCTCATGCCGGCATGAAGTGGTCCTTGACCGGCACGGCGTCTACGGGCTGCAGAGGAACCTGCTGGTGGAGAACATCATCGACATCTACAAGCAGGAGTCCACAAGGTAATGAGGACGTGTGTGCTCTTCAGAAGAGGTTTTCCACAAAAGCAGACACGGCTCAGGGGAATGGTGGCCTTTGGTCTTTCCGTCTGGCAGGCGTGACATTGATTTAGTTGTTTTCTCTCCTGGAAATGCGGAAAGGGATCTTACTGCCATTCATGCCTGTCTGTTTGCTGTGCAAGGGAGTCAGCTCTCACTGAGCACAGAAAGCCATATCCAAATAGATGCTGAATTTCCCTGCTTCCACTTATAGCAGAGGATTGTGCCATGCTTAGTCACATGAGCAACACTTACACATGCAAAAAAACCCCTTGAGGTCATCATAATTACTCACATGAATAAGGGAAAAGTAGCTAGGTTCAAATAATTCATTGCAAAAATAGTTTAAATAATTCTTATTTGTTTTTAAATAATAATTTGTCTGTGTGTTCTCATGCTAAAAAAGGGAAAGAAATTTCAAATCTTGTTAGAAAATCCTGAGGGACAGACAGTGCAAACAAGAAGAAAACTGAATTTCACACAGAGGATACTCTGCATCATAATGTCAAATCAAAACTCAATATAAAAAACAAACCTCCACTCCTTTCAGCTTGTAATGTGAACTCATGAAGTCAGGTCTTACTTAGGACTCCATAGAAGAGAAGGGATAGCCAGAAATAGTAAGTTTCAGGGCTGTGTGGCTTCACACGTGTATCAGGACCTCAGGGCAGAGGAACGGGTTAATACTAAAAAGTAAGATTACTCCTGAATGCTAATTGCCTGCATTAGGTATGTAATGGAACCAGCAACAGAAGAATGTTTCATTTGGGATAGGTTGGATGCATGGTACCTCCATGTAGTAGGGAGGGAAGCTAAGCCTGGCCCCAGGCCACCAAGCAAGCAGCTCCCACTTGCAGACGTTGCCTTTTGTCTTGAGCATGGATCCATAGGACCAGTTTTGTATGACAAGGTGTTTTGTACACCTGAAGGAAGGTGTAATCCTGGCCATACTCCCTAACAGTGTTCCCATGCCACTCCAACAAGGAGCTGGATTTTGTTAAGGACAATGAGGCGATATCACTGGAGCAAGTGGACACAACCATTGGAGCCCAGTGTCTGGGATGGTCAGGGCGCTTCTAAGCTCCTCCACCAGAGGAGGACAGTCACCACGAGAGAGAACATTTTGGAGCCTGGCAGTGGCTTTGACTATTGGCTATTTGAATAGCCTCCTTCCTGAAGGGACTGTTGTAGCTGGGCATAGTCTGGAGCTCCAGAACGTTGGAGAGCACAAAGTTGGTTAAAAATTGTCCTTTCTGCTGCCCTTTGTGCTCAGTGCCAAGGAGAGGTCAGATACTCTTCAGTGTGGCATTGATACCCAAATATTATTTTAGTCAGGAAAATCTTGGAGGAAATGAATCAGCAAAGCTACAGTAGTGGACTTTGCTTTTGACCAAATTAGCTGGACGTATGTGGCCTTGTGTTTCCTAGTTTGTTCGGGGATTTTTTTCAGCTCACATTTGTGTTTGACTTTAAGAATAAAGATTCCTTTTCCCATGTAGTTCATGGACAATTGGAACAAAATTTGATTAAACAGAAGTTTAAGAGACTTACTAGATTTTTTAAAAAATTCCACAAAAGTAAAATACATGATGAATAATAGAAAAAAATACAGATATGAACATATATGTGCTTAGATACTTGTCCAAAAGTTCCATTTATTTAGTCTGTTAAGACACTTATTTAACCTTCATGTATGCCCTTAGAATGAAAATTATCGTCAGGATTACATAGCAGCAGCAATGCATAGAAGCATTATCTAAACTATTTGGCACTTTGAAGGCCTCAGCTGCTTATCTCCCTCCACCTAACGTTCCTCAGGCTCCTATGAGAGTGTGAGCAAGATCTGCCATGGCTTTACCCAGTGCTGTCCCACTGAAACAAAAGTCAAGGGAAATCAAGTCTTCACTTCTTCCTTTTGCACCAGTTTGTTCCAAACTGAGGATTGGGGTCTGACAGAGGTACATAAGAGGAAGGGTGAGATGTGGCATTTGCCTCCTTGTTTCTTCCCAAGACAATCCTTCAGACTGGCAGTACCTGTGATTTCAAGACAGGAGCTTCTTTCACTCGAGTCCTCCTGTGGGTGTAATTCACCATAACTGCTTGTGCCAGAATGATGCCAGCTCCCAGCTGCATTTCACATGAGCTTAGGAGAGTGAGGGGAATTCAGCTAGGGAGCAAGTTTTGTTCCTGCTTAGGCAAAAATAATGTATTTCAAAAATATTTTTTATAATTTGAGTTTATTTTTTAATTAAGGGGTTTGGGGGTTTTTAAAATAAAAGCTAGGGCAGGAGCAGGGTTAGGGGATTGGAAGGATCTGCCCAAGCCCTCACATGCAGCCCCTCATTACTAAAAATCCCATCATCTGTTTTTTTACCCCACTGCTCATCAAATTCTAGCTGATGGAAGCATAGCCTCTTGCCCGATTTAGAATCTATTAGCAACACAAGGAAAGAAAACTTCAAGCAGAACATGGTTCCTACAAAGACTTAAAGGATGGCAAAGAACTGAACCCAGTGGAAATAGAGTTGGCTAAAATATTAAATCCCATTTGAAAGTTTGTAGGCCACTGATTACCTGAGCTATCTGAGGAACATCAGGGTGCCTGCTGCCACCAGGAAAGGGTAGCAACAGAAGGCTGTGACTTCTCGCAAGCTCTGGCAGCCTCTAACGAGCTCAGCCAGTTATTCCTGATCAAAAGCTTCTTTGGGTTTTGTTACCAGCTGAATCCTGATCAGGGAGGCTGGAGCACTCTTTCTGCCTTGCATATACCAGGGAGAGCCCCAAGTACAGGCTGCCCTTGCAGCCCTGAGCACAAATGAAGCAGTGACTGCAGCGGCAGGCACAGCAGGAACCAGGCACTGTGCTGAGAGCAATGTGGGGGGGCTCTGCGATGGTGAAGACATGCTGCAAGACAGGGTATCCAGCACCACCAAGAGCAGCTATCCCTGACACCTCAGAAGTCTCAGCCAGAGCTTCCAAGTGAGGACATGGCTTTCCAGGACAGGCTGCAAGGATGCCTGGGAATCTCAGATAGGCTGGATCAGCTAGATGGGATCTCTGCCCACAGGTCACCAGGCAAGGAAGCTGCAGGAGTAGCCCCACAGACTGTGCAGTGAAAGAATTGAGGAGAGAGGTCACCTGGATCTTAGAATCGTAGACTCGTTTAGGCTGGAAAAGACCTTTAAAGTCATCAAGTCCAACCATTGACTAACAATGCCAGGTCCACCACTAAACCACATCCCTAAGCACCACATCTACACATCTTTTAAATACCTTCAGGGTTATGACCACTTCCCTGGGCAACCTGTTCCAATGCTTGACAACTTTTGGGGTGAAGAAATTTTTCCTACTATGTTATCCAAACCTCTACTGGCACAAATTGAGGCCATTTCCTCTTGTCCTATCACTTGTTACACAGGATAACACACCAAACCTCACCTCGCTACAACCGCCTTTCAGGTAGTTGTAGAGAGTCCCCTCAGCCTCATTTTCTTCAGGCTAAAAAACCCCAATTGCCTCAGCCTCTCCTCATAAGACTTGTTCTCTCAACTTTTCACCAGCTTCATTGCTCTTCTGCACCTCCCAACAGAAACAAAGCCCGAAGCTCATCTGCAGCAATGGTTTTCGTGGACTAAACACTCACAATAATGCAATGGAGCTGCAGGAATGGCTATATCCTACAGTCTTCTCATTTTTCAAGCCTCATTTCTACTCCTGGTACTGGTGGGTTTTTCACTGCTTTTGGGAGAGTTTGTCATCGTGGTTGATTTTCAAAGACCACCTCCTCCAAGCTCAATAATGGTCTATTGCCATATGCAGGAACTCGAGTAGTGGTGGCAGAATACCTGCATTGATTAACAGTGAGCTCCTGATAAAAATAAAAAGTTGAAAAAGTGAAAAGAAGGTGTACAGCTGACTCAGGAATATTTTGAAACACTGTCTGAGCATGTGAGGTTAGGAAAGCCAAAGCCCACCTGGAACTGAATCTGGTGAGGGACATGAAAGCTAACCAGAAGAACTTGTACATCAGCAGCAAAAGGAAGATTAGGGAAAGTGTGGGTCTACTGCTAAATGGAGTAGGAGCTCCTGTGACAAGGGAGATAGAAAAGGCCAAAGTACTCCATGCTTTCTTCACTCAGGTCTCTACTAGTAAGCTCAGTCTTCAGGAATCCCAGGCCCCCAAGAGAAGTAGAAAGTCTAGAGCAAGGAAGACTTACTCCTGGTGGAGGGGGATCAGGTTAGGGAATATTACAAAAACCTGGACATCTTGATGGGAGGCACTCATGACTGGTGAGGAAGCTGACTGCTATCATTGCAAGCCCACTCTCAATAATCATAAAATTTTCAAAAGGTCATGGTAAGTGGGATAGGTTCCTGAGGACTAGACTGGAAGAAAGCAAATGTTACTCCAATCTTCAAGAAGTGCAAGGACAAGTATCCAGTGTACTACAGGATGGTCATTCACTTTGGTCTTGTCACTGGGCACCACCGAAAAGATCCTGGCTCTGTCCTTGTTACACTCTACATTTTAGATACCTGAAGGTATTAATAAGGTCAATGTCATTGTTAAGATCCCCCTGAACCTTCTCTTATTCAGACTGGAAGTCCCAGCTTTCTCAGCTTTTTTTTTCATAGAAGAGATACTCTAGACCCTTAATCAACTTTAGAGCCCTTTGTTGGGCTCTCCTCTGTATGTCCATATCTCTCATGTACTGAGGAGCCCAGAACTGGACCCAGTAATCCAGTTGTGGCCTTATCAGTGTTGAGAACCCTCCTCACCATAAAACATGCACAACACACTGCATATGAAGATCCAAGCCCAGTTTTAATGGAAAATCATAAGCCTGTAGCAGTCAAACATAGGCTTAGCATCTCAAATAGTGGAGCCAGAGTACAAGAGCACGGAGCTGTTAGGCTATTTCAGTAACCTGCTACTTCTTTAGTTACAAGTACACATGTGATGAATCATTTCTTCTACTAAAGCCATGTTGTCATTTTCCTATCAACTACTCTTGAATCTCCTGTTTCAGAAGCAGCCACCATTTTAAACTCAGAGGTTAATGTTTTGGTCTTTGCTAGAGAATCACAGAGTTGTCAGAGTTGGAAGGGGCCTCTAGAGATCGCCTAGCCCAACCCTCCTGCTAAAGCAGGTTTGTCTAGAGCACATCACATAGGATCACATCCAGACGGGTTTTGAAAGTCTCCAAAGACTCTACAACTCTGGGCAACCTGTTCCAGTGTTCTGTCACCCTCCTACAGGAAGGCTGGGGAGGGACTTTTTACAAGAGCGTCCACTGACAAGGGGAAATGGGTTTAAGTTGAAGGAGAATAGATTTAGATTGGATCTTAGGAAGAAATTCTTCAGTACGAGGGCGGCAAGACTTTGGAATAAATTGCCCAGAGACATTGTGGCTGCCCCCTCCCTGGAGGTGTTCAAGGCCAAGCTGGACAGAGCCTTGAGTAGCCTGATCTAGTTGAGAGGCATCCCTGCCCATGGCAGGGAGGTTGGGTTGGGTGATCTCTAAGGTCCCTTCCAGTCTAGGCCATTCTGTGATTCTATGATTCATATGAAACTCAGATGAAACTGACTGTGTTCCAGCCTGTGCCTGTTGCCTCTTGTCCTGTCACTGGACTCTGCTGAGAAGAGTCCGGCTCCATCCTCCCTGCACCCACCCTTTAGATATTTATAGATATTTATAAGGTCTCCTCTCAGCCTTCTCTTCTACAGGCTAAATAGTCCCAGCTCTCTCAACCTTTCCTCATAAGAGAGATGCTACAGTTCCCCAATCATCCTCGTTGCCCTAAACCAACATAGACCTAGAGGATCCTCTCTAAAATTATGGAATGTTGTGATAAAAGTCTACCCTTTTGCTTGGCCTAGGAAGGAGACTGAATATGTTTACTTCTAGTCTTCTGTCACTGTCTTCAGGGCCCTGCTAGTTCAGGGAGTTCAGGGAGTTCTGCCAGGTTTCTTCCAGCTCTTTGCGGCACCTTTGAAGGTTGGCTACTTCTGGATGAGCTCGCTTGACATCATCGCCTTTTTGCCCCGTGCAACGTGTCTTTCATGCTAGTGGCACCATTCCAGTGTTAAATGGCATTCTAACAGTTTCTTGTTCTGGTCTTGTGCAGGCCTTCTCACTGGTGCACTATAACACGAATACATTAGGGGCTGTTTGCAGTCATCTGCAAACAACATAAGGCATTTTCTACAGTGGACACAGACCTCTTTTATCTACGACTGAAATGATGTGGATTTGACACACTGAGCGCCTTATATAAACGTATGCTGGAAAACTGACCCAAATAATACAGACTTCCTTTCGAAGTGTCCATCTTGTTTTATTCTGGTATATCATGTTATGTAACAGATTACAGATTTTTCATATGAATCATTTAAATTCTAGTGACCTCTCAACATTTAAAAAAACATGAATGCAGAAGACATTTTCTTTGATGCTTGGTCTTTTTTTAAAACCTGTTCATTGTCATTAAAAAATAAATGCCATGTCCACTATACCAAACTGTAATATCTGAAATAATGATTTTTCCATACTTTTTTAAACTTTAATAGAATGACTGGTTGCCTCCTTGCTACAGAGCTCTGTAGATTGCCTTTTTAAAAAGTGTGTTTCCATGTAATTCCATTAAATTCTATAGTTTTGGAAAATATTTTCTATTTAATGATGAAAAGATACAGTTCTATGATGCCATTGCTCTACCTGCTACAGGAAAGTCACAGTTCTCCTTCCAAATGGTAGGAGAAGAGAATAATGTCTTATGTTGGAAATATTTAGCATTGCCACAGTAGGAGTGGCACCTTTTGGAAGCTTGAACCTCCAGACACACTCCCTGCACCCATCTACTGACCTTGTCCTCTGGTACCACGTTCTCACACACCCACACACTTGCCACAGACATGCTCAGGGTGCTAAGCCTGAAGTGTGGACTTAGAAAACCATCAGCCTGCCCACACAGACTGGACCAGAGCTTTCACTTACACTGGGAATACCAGTTAAGTGCCTCATTTAAAGGAAGCTACAACTCAATTAGTTCCTAAAATAGCAGGAATTGACTTGTGTGTATATGGCTAAATCATTTTGGTGAAGAAAAGATCAGGACTGAGCTTTAGTCTGTTTGCAGTTCCTGACTCAGCACAGGATAGGAGTAAGAGCTGGGAAGGGACTGTTTATAAGGGCATGTAGTAATAGGATGAGGGGCAATGGTTTTAAATTGGAGCAGGATAGATTTAGACTGGAGATTAGGAAGAAGCTCTTTATTGGGAGAATGGTGAGGCACTGGAATATGTTGTCCAACATGTAGATGCCTCATCCCTGAAACTGTTCAAGGCCAGGCTGGATGGGTCTTTGAGCAACCTAGTCTAGTGGGAGGTGTCCCTGTCCATGGCAGGGGGTTGGAACTGGGTGATCTTTAAAAGTCTCTTAAACTCAAACCATTCTATGATTCTATGAAAATATTCCTGTGATTCTGTGATTCTATGTTTCCATGATTCTTGGTGATGGATACAACCAGATTACCTACTGTTAAGAAGTTTGACACTGTACAAGCTAGGCACAAGCCACTAGGCTAAAATTAATTTGCATGAGATCTTATTTTGGTTGCTGTCCTAGTCTAAAAGCTGTGGGGACTCAGTCTTGTTTGATATTGACAGTCCTGACCCCGGCCTCGAAAATCTCATCAGCAGAGATATAGAGATAGAGGCATAAAGGTCCATCAATACCTACAACTCTTTCTTCAAATTAGTTCCCTGCATAAGAGCTTTACTACATTAAGGACCAGTGCCTGACATTTTGCATGATGAACCCAAAAGAAATTACGTATGTTTCAGACAGATGTTAGATGCTAATTTAAGTACACGAGTAGTCTGAGATCAGTCTTAGGGAGGTTATCTACATTTTTAAATATGAGAGAGTGTTCAGTTGCACTGTGAGCTGGGATCCCCATATGAAGTCATGTTGCTATATTACCATCACATCCTCTTGCGAGGACGTTAAGCTGTACCACTGTGTATTTAGTCATCGCATGTGGCAGTTTTAAGTTTGTGCTGCATATTCAGGTCAGCCTTGGGCACTGCTGTAAAAATGTACCGTACTTCATGCTGATACCCTTAACTGTCATCAGAAACTCAAGAGCACCAAGTCTGTTTTAAACTTGTTTTCTTGTTTTCCAGGCCCGAAAGGAAGTGTGACCAGCCAATGTGTGAAGAGCACGAAGATGAGAGAATTAATATCTATTGTTTGAACTGTGAAATGCCCACCTGCTCCTTGTGTAAAGTCTTTGGTGCCCACAAAGACTGTCAAGTTGCTCCTCTCACAAATGTTTACCAGCAACAGAAGGTAAATACCTTTTTGTGTCTCATAGTCCTCCCAGCAACTGACAGTACCACTGACAAGGCAGTATTACCATGGGCTTCTTGTGAGTTTCCAAGGAGGCCTGGGGGTGCCTTTGCCATTTCTGTGTGTGAGTAAAAGGCTCAGACAAATCTGTTGGAACTGTTTAGAAGCACAGGAAAATATATTTATGAGAGACCAACAGAAAGATATTACAGCGTCCCAGTTTTTGTTAGTATAGTGAGTCAACATTTTAGATAGTGATTTAATGTGAAGCTGAGGATCTCTCTTTCAAGGTTCCTAACCTCTTTTCTTCAATGCTTTTAGATCAGAAAAACAAATGGGATTTCCAACACATGAACCAGAAAGAGAGACCATTACAAATCAAATAGTTATCTACCAGGCACTCCTGCCTTTAAGCATCTCATTTTTAAGAAGAATTAAGTGAAAGACCTCCTTCTTCAAGTGGATGCACGAATATTCAATAGTTGGCAGCAAAGGATGTACCTAACATCCTCTGCCCTTGCTGTCACCAGTAAAAGACTTGTTTATTTTTAATACAGTATTAATTTAAAACCTGACTCACTGGGTTACCCTCCTGAGATAAACAGCTCATTTTTCTGGAAAGCCCCAGTGGGGCAAGCAATCAGAGAGGCCAAGTTTGCAATCCCAGCCTCCAACTTTGTCACACAGATGCTTGTGTGTGGAAACTACAAATGAGAAGTTGCTTTAGGAAAGTAGTTACAAACATCCTTTTCAATCAAAAAAAAAGGAGGGAGAAGGAGGAGAAGTTTCTTGGACTGATTTCACAGCCCCAGTCGCTCTCTTTGCATGAAGATTTGCAACCAGTTGTTTCCTTCCCAGAGGGCCTGTGCAAAGGGGCTGTCATGCCCAGGACTGGAGGTGTAATCTGGAGGCTGCAGGGTCAAAGGATCCTTTACAAAGTGTGGAGGCCACCACACTGTTGCCACAGTGGTGTCTCAAGTCCTCCTTGTCCTCCACAGCACCCTCACAAGTTCCTAGGGACCGTATTCTGTGTCTCTTCTGTTCTAAGGA